TTTAATATCCCCTTACAGAAACAGTTTCCCAGTCAATAAAACCAAAACTAGCGCGCTACCAAAAAGTAAAAGGTTTGCTGAAAAACACCCCTGGACTCTACAGATGGAACAAGAAGTAAAAACTTTGCTACAGACTAGATATCCTAAAGAGTTTAATCTCTCTGTTACGGGATTTCAGGAAATTTGGCAAGCAGAAGCGTCACCAGTTCCCATCCAATTCCAAACGATGCTGCAGAACCTTAATCCCTTTCTGTCCTCATCCTATTATTTTTCCAGCCTTTTTTTTTATTTCAGTCTTTTGTTTGTTTTTGCTTTTTCTAAGCTGGCATACAAATCACAAGCACTGATTTAAAAAAAAAAAGGAAAAACACACTTAACTGTAATTGCTAAATGTTATATTTATGCAAAGTTGTCCAACGGCAAACAACCATACTGCAAAAACCACCAAGGCTTTACAGTAGATATTTACTACATTTGACTCATCTTCGCAAAAAAAACCAAAAAAGCCCACAATTGCTTTCTGAGAAACTTTGTATCTTGAGGAAGATCCAGTGCTATAACAAAAGCTCCATCATGAATCACAGAGTATCAGTGGAACATTCATTTTCTCCGCTCACGGTGATCCGTATCTCCTAAGCCCATCCAGCAAATCCCATTTGACAGAATATCTAGCCATGAAAAAAAAAAACCAAACCCAAATAAAGAGCAGGACTTAAGGCTGTATTGCCCTGGAGGCGAGTGCATCTGGTTGAGATAAATGGAGAGGAAAAAAAGTACAGCCTGTATGCTCTTAACGCTTCTGACTCAAGAGTGGAGGGAAAACAGGGCCAAGAGTTGCCTTATTGAAAAAAGAATCGTAGTTTCACCAGGAACAATAAAGGAAAGCATTAACAGGAGATGAATCTGAACAGGAGGAAATATGTGATTCTTCTCAGCCAACTCAGAGACCTGCCCAAAGAAGTACAAGCCACAATTAACTCCATTTTACCAGCAGGTTCAATGCTGGCACGGGGCAGAACGCCGTGCTCATCACCCCCCCAGGACAGTCCAACCACACTTTAGTGTGCTTGGGTAGTGACCCACTGGAAACTACTGAAGATGTTAAAAAAACCCCTGAAATTGGACATACCATTAAACGAGAACTTCCCCCAGTGTGGTAACCAGGTCTGTTTTAGCACTACTTTATTACATTTTGTTGGGTTTTTTTTTTCCTGATCAGCTTAAAACCCTGTAAAATGAATAGCTAGGAATGGCTAAATTTGAGGAATGGCTATTAACTGGAGTGGAGTTAGGAATTTCCCAGTTCTCAGCCCGTGGTTGCAAGTATTTGAGGGGTAGGGAGGCAGGGGAGAAGTTAACTCTGTGTCAATTCCTATTTTAGGCAGAGCACACACCACATTTCTCTGGTACGTCATCCGTGCTTTCCCAAACAGGACCTCAGTTACACTCAGTTGGAAGCCTCACTTTGTATTTTTGCCGTTCAAAATGAGCCTGCAAACACATCTGGAGGAAGAGGCCAACGAACTGGACAGGGAGGGCTGCTCCGAGACTCCCACCATCCGCTCAGCCTGGCTGAGGACACGAGGCCAAGGAATGCTCGAGAACACGTGCAAACACGTGGTTAAGGACATCAGCCTGCTTTTGCCCATACACCAGATCCGTTGTATCGCTCAAAATTTGAGCCTGGCTGAGGACACGAGGCCAAGGAATGCCCGAGAACATGTGCAAACACACGGTTAAGGACATCAGCCTGCTTTTGCCCGTACACCAGATCCATTGTATTGCTCAAAATTTCAGTGGGAAGCTTGGATTTGTCCCCACTTTCATCCCTGCCTGTGAAAGGGTTGTAGGGCACCGTACCGCACATGTACGGTCTCCCTCTCTCCAGGACCCTCCATGTCAGATCTAGAGAGCCCACGGCTCCCATCTTGGCCCGTCTACGTAACATCTGCTGCGCAGAACCACACGAGCGAGAAAATCTGTATCTGTCACTGTCGTAAGACTCCCTGTGCCAGATGTGGGTGTCACATGAGCCGATACATGGGGTTCTGGTGCTCAGGAGGGGTCACTCAGGAGCCCAAATAACTACAGAAGCCAGGATGTCTTCAGTGCTGTTGTTCTTTCTTCATTAGATCCCGCTAAAGCTATTATAAAATAATCACAGTGGGAATGACAATCTGTAATCAGGGAAATCAAGATGATTAACCTCTGGCTAGAGTGAACACTGAACCAAATGGATGTAGATTTAAAAAAAAAAAGCTAAAAAATTATCCCTAGTAAAACTCTTTGTGACAGCAGATGTGCCCTTGTCAATTAAAAAGCAAACAAGCAATAATGCTGAGTGATTTCACGGAATTATTTGGTTTGGAAAAGACATTTGAGATCATCAAGTCCAACCATAAACAGAGCAATGCCAGGTCCACCACCAAACCCTGTCAAGAAGCATCACATCAACACATTTAAATATATCCAGGGATGGTAAAAAAAACACAAGAACTCTCAAATGAAAAAACTCACCACCACCACTGTATATTGATCACCCAATGAAATATGCATTTGAGATAAATTCAAGGTCCCCCCATCCTTAACTTACGTGAGACTGCAATTCTTTGAGAATTGAGCCAAAAGCTTCTGGGTTAAATATCAAAGGACAGACCAACTCAAGTAGCACCATGGTGGGATTCTGACAAGGACCACCTGGCCAGAGTAGGAAGTAGTTGAAAATTTCTTTGAATAGCTGGAAAAAGCCCCTTCAAATAAAACCCTGCTGCACTTCATCTCAGCCACTCTGGTATCTGCTAGAAGGGCAGCACGTTTGTGCTGAGGAATCCAGGAGATTTATGGAGACTATCAAGGCCAATTTCTTGACACCAGTGGTCAATGAGCCAACTAAGGGAGACGCTTTGCTGGATCTGTTACCCAAAAAAAACCCCAAACAAAATTATCAAAGATGGAAAGGTGTAGGCAGCCCTCCCTCCAGACACTGTGCAGCACGAGGTCCTTGACTGCCCGTGCACTAAAGCAGCCAAACTTTATCTGGAGCTGTTATCAACAAAAGCAGAGCCAGCAGGTCAAGAGAAAGGAACCTTCTGCCTTGGTTCACATCTTAAAGACACTTATTCTGGAGAGACAAAACTGGATGCAACATCGACCCCTTCCAGAGCATCCACCTGAGCACAGAAGGCCACTGAGACCAGCAGGGGACTGAGGCAATAACAGAGACTAAGATGTGGGTTTACCCAAACTGGAGATTTTGAAGGGGGATTTATCGCTGCCTGTGACTACCTAATGCAAGCATGTAGTGAAGACAGAGCTAGATCCTTTTCAGCGGTGCAGAGGGATAAAACGAGGAGCAACGAGCATAGGCTGCAACACAGGAAATTTCAGTTAAATATACAGAAAAATACTTTCATCTAGAGTTTGGTCAAATATTGGGATACAAGCCTAAAGAGGTTGTGATGTCTGTCCTGAGAAAACTGAAACTCACCTGGGCAAGCTGAACTCCAACGTGATGTAACCAGCCCTGGTACAAGGACAGGGATGAACCAGAGAGCTCCAGGAAGCCCTAATTTAACTAAATCATTCCATGAACCCACAATCCAAGTCCAACAGCAGAACTACAACTCTGTGCTTCACGACAGCAGATGTTCAGCTGAGAAATGGGTTTAGAGAAGCCAAAGCCCAGCTAAAGGAAATTAATGAGGAAAAATGACAACACCTCATCCTTGTTTTCCTATTGCATTTGTTCTACTAGGACGACATTTCCTATCATCATTCTTCTCTGTCATATGCAACTATGTAGGACACAGGGTGACCATCACCCACATTTAGATCTGTACTCCGAGCGTGTGCGTGTCCAGGGGGAGGTCAGTGCACGTAACTAAGTTAAACGACCATTATTGATTTGGGAATCATTTATAGTGGCTTTGTGGGACCCGAATTCAGTTAAAATTCTTTTAAGTGCTCACTGACATCACACTTGGTGCCTGGACATGAATCTCTGAGCACTTCAAGCATGTTTTAACATCATACCAAACCTGCTTCCATCTTGCATCCAAAAGCAGAGGTGGCCCTGCTGTATCAATATTGACTCAAGGCAACAGCAGCAAGAAAGGAATTCCATGGCATATATGGAGATGAACCTGCGTAGGCAGAGGGGGAAAAGTGTTTCTCCTGTAACATTCAGCCCCTAAAATATTTCAATAACTTGGAGGAGCAGTTTTTTGTTGGTCAAGTATATGATGTGGGTTTTTGCCTTGAAGAAGCATCAGGTGGATACATTAAGAATTTTTAGCAGCTTAAGGGTCACACAGAAATAAATGAATCCACAGAAAAACCCAAAGCATCTCACTATACAAAAGTCAGGCCACAGTCAGATCTTTAATCAAAGCACTTTGAGTCAGCGACAAACAAGATACAGCAGACATGACAACTCAGAAAAATCAAGTTGGGGGTAGAAGTGTGCTGCTGGTGTTTCCAGAGGATCAAACAAGGTCCCTAAACATATCCCCTCAGGGGCTTCTCAGCCATTCACAACACACTAGAAAGCTGCTAAAAAGTCACTCTTGCCTCACCCCTCCTCAAGTTGGTACGGAAGAGGCATAGAAGGGTCTTTGTTCTGACCAAAACCAATGGGGTAAATTAACCCAGAAAATAATTCCAGCTCTAACCTCCAAGTAAGAGGTTGAGTTGAGTTTATAAGGAGGAGACCAAGCAACCTATACTCCTCTCAACCTCCTCCAGTTTCTCAACTTGGCCTTCAGCTTGGGCACCTTTGTGGAGAGAAGCCTGACACTGCCAGCCCCCTAACAGGATCCATCTAATTTGAGCAGGGCACGGCAGGAAGCATCTCTCTGTAGAAACCGTTGCCCATCTTAGCGGTCAGTCTGTTCAAAGAGCCACACGATCGATAAGACTATGCATTTTTAGCAACCTTCTGTTCTGCTCCCCTTACTGGGATATTAGGAGCCAATAAAAGGTGCGTAGGAGCCTTCCCACCATGACATTAGGCAAGTAACTAATTCTAATCCCAAGAGAGATCCTCTTTCACTAACAAATAAGGCTCTGGAGCTCCCTTGGTAAGGTGAGGGGTCTGCAGCACTGAGAGGAGTACAGCAAAGGGCTTGTTCTCAGAAGCCCAGCACACACAAGAGCTTTGGAAGGTTGCATCCCTGCACTTTGGTCTTTGGGCAGTGCCACCTGCTCAGTATCTGTAGTGGTCTGGCTTGAATGGCCCATCTCTCGATAAGCCCAGGTACTTGGCCTGCTTGTCACTCAGCTTCGTCAGCTTCACACACAGTTTATCCAGATGAGCAGCAGCCACAGCTTCATCCAGCTGGAAAACAAAACATCGAGACAGGAATATTAGCAGACCAGAGTCATATTAATTCAGGAAGTCATGGTCAACAGTGAGAAATGAGGATGCAAAAAAAACAACGGCAGACCCAAGAAGGGTTTAACAAATCGACACAGAGGAACAGCCAGACAGCTCTTTTCCTGCCAACACACCTCCTCTGCTGGAGTGCAGAGGCATCTGCTCTGAGCACACAACTGCATTCAGATGGAAGAGCCCCAGGCTTTCGTGCGAGTTAAGCTTAAGTCAGACAACTTTTATATAATCAAGCCCATTTCAATCTCATTTATACATTCACGTCCATCCAACAGGAACACAAATCAAACTTTTCAGAGATAAGAATACCCAGGTTGGTAGAAGACATGTTTCCACTACAAAGGGCCTGGAGAACAAGTCCTCTGAGGAGAGGCTGAGGGAACTGGGGTTGTTCAGCCTGGAGAAAAGGAGGCTGAGGGGAGACCTTATCCCTCTCTACAACTCCCTGAAAGGAGGTTGTAGCAAGCTGGAGGTCAGTGCCTTCTCCCAGGGAACAAATGAAAAGGCAAGAGGAAACGCCCCCAGGTTGCACCAGGAGAGGTTTTGATTGGATATGAAGAAAAATTTCATCACTGAAAGGGTTATCAAGCCCTGGAACACGCTGCCCAGGGAAGTGGCAGAGTCGCAACCCCTGGAGGTATTTAAAAGTCTTATTGATGTGGTGCTTATGGACACGGTTTAGCGGCGGACCTGGCAGTGCCAGCTTAATGGTTGGACTCAATGATTGAAAGGTCTTTTCTAACCTAAACTGTTCTGTGAGTTCACAATCCCAGAGATGTAAGGCAGACATGGAAACCCAAGGGACTGAAAAATGTGTAAAGTTACAAGAGAGTTAAGTGCTACAGGAGATAAGTACAGAAACAAACAGTAAAATGGCAAACTAGCTGCTATGTCATAGAGGAATGTACATCCATAAAGGATATTCAAAGGTAGAAAAAACAGCAACAAGAAGCAATCGGGTGCTGCTGAGTTACAACAGGATAAGTTTGACAGCTATTTGTAATTCCTGCAAAATACAAGTACTCATTGCTCAGGTAACAGACAAAAGGCAAGTCTAAATTCCAGAGGCACAGAAAAGGCTAGTACAAGGGATATTTCTCCCACACTAGTTAAGCAAATGTGAAAGGCTGCAATATATTTGAAGGGCAATAAATCAGCAGAACAATCAAGGGCCAGATCTTCAGCTTGTGCAAACCAGCAAGTCCTAGATGATTCAATAACTAGTCCTAGATTTCCCACTCAGAGCAACTGTGGTAACAAGCAACTACTCTGAAGTAATCCCATTGTAATGAACCAGGTAAAAAGCTACATCTGGACAGAGTATAACTCCCTGCAGCTCAACCTGCTCACAGTAGTACGGAACTGCCAACATCTAAACACCAACACAGCCAAAAACACACAAGACAAAATGAAAAACTGAAGATGAAATGGTTGAAGAACATGAAAGTGAACCGTAAAAGCCACCAGACACTACAAAAGAGTCAGGAAAACTGCAAAAGAAATGAAAAGCTAACTGGAAGGACTGTGTTTAGAAGGGAAAAAAGTATTTAAGGTTAGTAGATCCTGCCAGGAAAAGAAAAAGAGGAGGTTAAAACCTGAATGTGTAGCTGGTTGACTAGACTGATATGTGAAGCGAGGCGCATTTTTAGGCAGTTCACACGCACCTGTAAAAGGAGGCAAGTCCCTGACACTTCCCAGATCAGGTTTTCAAACTGAAGCAGAGGTAAGCTGTTTCACAGCTCCTTCAGCTTTGGGACTTCAAGATTTAGATACAAAGGTACACAAATTTAGATGAAGGTTAGCTGACACTCCTACCTTAAATTCAGAGCATAAGGATGGACAGATTTGGTGCCGAGAACACGGACACAACAGTTTGCCTAGATTTCCGGGCACACACGTGGCAGAAACGTGTGCGTGTTTGCAACAGCTGATCATCAAAGCAATAGCCTGGCAGTCAAACTACGAGCAATGTCAGGTACTTGGAAATTCTCCAGTTTTACATTTGGACCTCACAGCTACTGCACAGATCAAGAAAAGACACTGGCCCAGAAGAAAGCTCTTCTGCCCATCTTCTCTTGGTTCTGACAAGGCGACTGCTTTATTCTTTGAAATTCTCAACGGAGCGCAGAGCGTAAAAGGAGCATTTTGTCACAATATATAAACTGAAGAGATCACTGCTATATGCTTCATTAACGTGCAACTCCATTTGTAAGTAACTGATCTGGGCACTGCTTCTCATTTCCAGTTCAACTGTGCTCACTAAAAATTGTTATTCAGGAAGAGGATGAAGCCACATTTTATTAGCAACATTGGATTATCATTTTCAGGAGATTTGTCAACAAAACTTTTTCTTTGAAGATGATTATGTGTCAGCTGGCAGATCAACTCCTACACTGTATTTCCAGTATGCTTTGCTTAATTATTAACAGACAGTTTAGGAAGCTGAAGTCCTTCAGCAAACACTTCGTAAGTAAGCCCAAACATACACATTCTACTTCCCAAATGAAAAGTATTTTCACATTTAGTCTCACACCTGGTTACATTCCAAAGGCAGCGCGATTTAACGCCACCTTTTTCAATGACCATCTCAAATTCTCAGGCTTGTTTTGGAAAATTAAAATCAGGTTAGTCTCCTAAAATGTTAATTTGCGAGTTGTGACATGATCCAGATTTTCCCAAGAAGAAAGAACACAGAGGTAAGTTTAAAGGAAAACACAAGGGAACCTGTCAGTAATATTTTGTGAAGCTATTAGGACCAGATTGTGATAAGCTCTGCTCAGGGGCAAATGAGACCCAGACCATCAACCACAGTAAAAGCAATTCCTAGTTTCACTCCAGCTCTGCCCCACTAGACTTTGCTGATGGATAGAGAGGTGAAAGCTTGCTCTGAAAGCTGACATTCAGCAGAAGAAACAAGTTAGTTAGGAGAAGCTCCCTGACTACCTCGAGGCAGCACAGGGCTTCCCAGCACTTTAAGTCAAGCCAAAAAGCCACTGGACATTCCTACCACAGGACAAACAAAGGCCAACAGCATCCTGGCTTGGATTAGAAATTTTGTGACCAGCAAAAGAAGGGAGATGATTGTCCCTCTGTGCTCAGCACTGGTGAGGCCGCACCTTGAGTACTGTGTTCAGTTTTGGGCACCTCAGTATAGGAGAGATCTCGAGGTGTTGGAGCGAGGGCAGAGGAGGGCAACAAAGCTGGGGAAGGGCCTGGAGAACAGACCTTGTGAGGAGCGATTGAGGGAGCTGGATCTGTTCAGTTTGACCAAGAGGAGGCTGAGGGGGCATCTCATCATGCTCTACAGTTACTTGAAAGGACATTGTAGAGAGGTTGGTGCTGGTCTCTTCTCACAGGGAATTAGGACAGAACCAGGGGGAATGGTTGCAAGTTGCAACAGGGCAGGTTTAGGCTGGACATTAGGAAGAAATTCTTCATGGAAAGAGCGGTCAGACCCTGGAACAGACTGCCTGGAGAGGGGGTTGAGTCGCCATCCCTGGATGTGTTCAAGTGTCGCTTAGATGTGGTGTTGGGTGATGTGGTTTAGGGGTGAGCTTGTAGTGTAAGGTCAATGGTTGGACTCGATGATCCCAGGGGTCTTTTCCAACCTGAATTGTTCTATGATTCACCGAGGGACAGAAGCTCCTTGCAACAACAACATTCAATAGGAAAACGAACATGAGCATCTGAATATGTGACCGTGTAGATTTGTTTCGTATGTGCTCGAGTTGGATTCCTTACAAGTCTGTGTCTTTCCGCTATTCTAACTCACCTTCTTTGGCAGAAAATGCACTCCGACAGAGTATTTGTCACTGTTGGTCCACAGCTCGATCTGTGCCAGCACCTGGTTGGTGAAGGAGTTGCTCATAACGAAGCTGGGGTGACCCATGGCACAGCCCAAGTTGACCAGTCGGCCTTCGGCTAGCAGGATAACGTGACGGCCGTTCCTCAGCTTATAGCGATCCACCTGGGCAGGGAAAAGCAAGAGCAGAGCAACATCAGGGTATAAAGAGCATTTTAAATCATGCACAGCTTCCCTCCCACACCAGCAATCGAGCAACACAGGCTTTTGATTACAATATAGACATCCCTCCCTCAATTCCCAGCCAGTGCAGGCAAAGCCCATAGCTATTCTGGGCTTTGCACAACGTGAATTTTAGCAGCTGCTTCATGTTTAACCAGTTAGCCAGCTCTTCTGGCTTTTTCACATGCACATTGTCTCAGATGGCTGTGATGGGGAGGACACTGCTACAATAAAATGCAGCTCACACAGGTCTAATTGTAACAACTGGTGTGGAGAGAGAGCAGAGAAGAGGGAACACCTCTGCACGCAGAGCCCTCGCCCTGATGGAACTGCTCCCCTGCAACTCTTCCCACTGCCAGAAGGCAAATGCTTTGCAGTATAATAAACGCTTGTGCTCTCCTTTAGCAATCAGGGGGCCAAAGACATGCTCCTCCACTCAGACCGATTTCCAAGCTACGCTGGGGGCAAGAGGATTCTGCACACAAGTCTCAGCTGGGCTAAGGAGACAGGTCTTCAGCTCTGCAAGAGTCCCACGCAGTTCAGGAGATAATGCCACTTGGTATGTGCCTCGACTGTCTGGGCCAGATTGGGCTCCTGCAATGTTAAAAGTTCTGCTTTCCACTAGTCACTAATTCCTCTCTCCCCTGCCTTCACCCCTGTAGGAGGCTACAGTGTCCCATCTGGGACAGCAGTGGTTTTTGTAACAGACCAGAGAGGTTCGGGGTAGGAGGTAGGTGTTCAGCATTAAACCACAGGGATGACCTTGACCCCAAAATCCCAACCTTTTGAAAAAGTAAGACCCTTTTAACTAGAAACTCAAAGCTTTCAAACCTAGACTGCATCTCACTGTGCCTAACACATCTGTGACAGACTGGCTTCTTCAATACAGAACATGTAAAGAAAAAGGGATCACTACCTCTGCCAACAGTGACACTGTTTTTCATGTGGATTTTAAGAGCCACATTGAATGGCCACGTGCAGGTAGTTTGAATGATACCATATTAATGTTCAATTTAGCCTTCAACATTTACTTTTTGTAACCCAAGTTACTAGAAAGCAAGCAACTAGCTCCAGGCTCTTCTAGGACAAGAGCCATTGAGCAAAGTGAGCTCCACACTAACGTCATGGGCAAGAAGAGACTTGAATATAGTGAGAACTTAAGGGCACAATTTCATACCTGGTAGAGTGTCCCAAAAAAAACAGGATATTAAAGACTCAGCTGCTTGGTAAGAGTTTCAAGTGGGCAGTCAATAAGGCACAGGAGAGTTACGAAAATTGGGAGGGCAGATTGAGATGAACTAAGATATATGCTTGGATGTGGTGTTCGTAAAGTAGAAAATCCATCCCAGAACCCTGCTATCAGCAAGCACACTCCCTTTTTAAAAGGTAACTAGAAGTCCCATGCCAAGTCACACAAAAGCCTGCTCTGCTTTATGTGATGTTCTCCCTCAATGCCGGTGTTACGAATCAGTTTTGATTTAGTTTAGCTCCTCTGCTTTAGGACACACAGCTTTTTGGCCAAGATTTTTTAGATGCCCATTCTCCTGTGTAGCTACAGCCACAGCCTGAACTAAACACATGGTGGGAATGCAAGCTGAGCAAGGATAAAACATCTCACCTTGCCTGCCCACACACAAACTTCAGGATTACACAGGTTTCTAAAATGAAGCCACTAAGTCTAGAGAGAAGTCTGAGTTTGGCAGAGCTCCGGATAGGCTTTCCTGAGGCTCCAACCTCTGAGTAAACAAAATGTTTCGAAAACAGAGAGGTGTGAGCTTTTTCAAACCTCGACAGAGCCAAAAATACATTCCTTTGAGAGTCCCTCTAATCCTGGCACCCTGCACCAGGAGCAAGATTGTTCTGGTGCAGAGCAGTACATGAGCAAGAAGCTTCCGGAGGGGAAATTCAGATCAGCCATCAGGCAATCTATGGGCTCTGCTCTTAGATTTTTTTTCCCGTAAGGAATTAACTCGATGCAATTAATTGTCTATGCAACCACCACTAAGGGTAGGCTCCTGTTTGTCAAGGAAGTAGGAACATGTGGCAAAAGACGCATCCATACCAGGAGCCTCTCACCAGAGACCATATGACATGGAGCTTGTTCCAGTATAATCGGGGAGAAGCCGAGTAGAATCTCTGTTCTGATCAGCCCAGAGCAACACTGGCTTCCAAGAAAGCTAGAAACACAAAGTTTCTGAAGGGAAATATCTCCCTTTCTGGAAGCAGACACTGCATAGCTATTGCTTGTGCAAGGGCTTTCTCACCTGAGGTTTAACATTCACCACCTCCACGGCATTTTCATTCAGCCACTTTGCATCAACTTCCACATCAAAATGGCCAATATTACACACTATGGCATCATCCTTCATCTGCTCAAAGTGCCTGGAAAAAGTCAATTCACAAGTTAATGCACAAAAATGTTTCTTCAGCACCAAAAGATGCTCTGGTTTGTAGCTCTGCTCAGGAAGTGAAAAGCACCTGACTCACTGACTGCATTTGACTCTCACAAGATGTGAGGGTCTGAATCTTCCAGGCACATGAAGTCTACTGGAAAAGACTCACGAGCTTCTAGGGAAGCGTATGTCCCAATGATAAGAGATTAATTGGAGAGAAAATATTTTCTCAGTATGGAAAGTAAAGCTATTTCATTTAAATGGTCATAACTGAAATACCTGCAGTTATTCTCCTTCCTACGCAGAAGAAAATTTTTTCATGACTTTAAAGTTTCCAGCAGTTTCACATCCCTAGAGACTAACAGCCTTATTCCTTCACACTTCATCTGATTCTCCACTACCACATGTACAATCATAATGGCAAACACAGGAACAAGTTTGTGTAGAAGGGAGGAGGTATAAACTGAGATCTATGAAGCTGTAACAAAAACCCTGCAGGGTAGTTGAACAGGCTAGTTTCAAGTCTGCTATGTGTATTCACACACAAAATCACTTTCAACTTCTACCTACCTCCTTCTGTTCACATTTATCTGTCCTAACACAGAATTTAGCCCTGATCTCTCCCAGAGTCCTCTACACCCCTCTACACTGTTTGTTTCTCCATCATTATGTGCTGTAGAAAAGGAACAACTGCAACATGGCAACATCCAACAGACACCGAAAGCTCAAAACCCCAATTTCTCAGTAAATTGATGCAAAATTCTCATGAAATTCTCAGAAATAAAACTGTGTGCTAATCTTTACCATACTGCTGACAAGTTATATTTAAAAAAAACCAAACAAACAACCGAACTGTATGGGTGTGCTTGCAAAAAAGCAAGTGGCTAGACCTTACCTGCCCTGAACAATGTCAGTGCAGCCGGTGGTGGTAACAAAGATATTGCCTTCTTTGCAGGCCTCCTCCATGGTTGTAACTTCATAACCTGAAAAGAAGAAAAAGTTATTCCTGCACCCAACCACCAGCACTTATTAAAAAAAGGGACACAGTATTATAAATAGAAAAGTATGGAGAAAGAATGAGAAAGTGAAGTCTGTGCCGACACCTGATCTATGGTGGATGCAAGGTAGTGGGCATATTCATCTTACTAAATACTAAAATAGCATGAAAATATCTATCCCTCACCTGTTTCTAATCTTCAATATCTTATGTCTATAGGTGTAAGGTCTGGCACAGATCTCAGACCGAGTTCAGAGGGTCAAGATTGCAAAGGAAAGTGCACCCACAACATCCGCAGGTTCCAGTCAGGTACGAATAGAAATAGGACAAACCAGTACAAAGCAGCATCATTACAGGAGGCACCCCCAGAGGAGACGCACAGCTGGAAAGGCAGAGACATGGCACTGCTTTCCAAAAGCACCTATTGCAGGTAAGGACTGCTGTTTTACTGCAGGGATATCGTAGGGAACTCTTAACCCACACTGGATATTAGAGTCGCACAACTTGAAGATGACGAACCCACCCCAAACCAGGCACAGAGCATGATGGAACGGGAGCCTTATCCCACTACAGTCACTATATCCTTGACATCTTCAAGGCCTATAACAAAACTCCTCTAACTGTAAGGAAAGAATTCCTACAGTTCGACTGGAGTTACCTCTACCTCAACAGGAACTGGGCTGAAACCCACTGAAACTTCCTTGACCAACTATCATTTACTGCTCTTCACTGACATGCAGAGACCCCCCTCCCCTCAGACACACTGGTTTCTGCATCTCCCTCAGTTCTCACCTTCCATGGCCGCCTGCAGCGCATTGATGGGATCGATTTCAGTGATGATGACTCTGGCTCCAAAACTCCGCAGGGCCTGAGCACAGCCTTTGCCCACATCACCGTAACCCGCCACGACCGCTACTTTTCCAGCGATCATGACGTCTGTAGCACGTTTGATGCCATCGATGAGGGACTCTCTGCAACCATAAAGGTTATCAAACTTGCTCTGAGGAAGAAAGGAGCAGTTTCAGAACAGATCAAAGTCACTCAAGCAAAAATTCCTTAGAGGAACAAATGCTTACATGCAAGCACTACAAATCAGAAGGCCTATAGCCAGCTAAATACTTTAACCACAACGAGGGATGAGAAGAAGAAAACCTGGTTTGATGTTTTTATTTATCCAGATTCAATCTATATTTACACCAGATGCAGGCTTCAACACATCCCTGGCAAAAAGCATTTCATAAATCGCTGTGTCTACTGTCAAGGGCTTGGACATATTAAAAGTTTGTTCGAGGTAACCTGAATTTATTAAGTCTAAGCACAAACAGCTCTTGCGTACAGAAGTGGGTCCAAGTCCCTTAACCCGATGTTCAGTGGTTCTCTGCTGCTCTTTATCAGACAACGAACTGAGCCAAGTGCCACAGGTAGGCAAAAGGCACCAGCAGAATATCTGGCCAATGTGTCAGCAATACATTTTTATCTTGGCAAGTCACGTGCACCCTACAGAAGCAGCAAGCTGCCTACATCAACTATGAGAAATCGGTTCCAGGAAGATCAAAATTGCATCTTCCCCCAGAACAGTAAAACTAAAGCTGCCAGGCCTCACCACTGCTCACATCTAGGAAAACCCAGGAAGTAGCTACACACAATACTGGTCACTGCTACCAAGAATCCCTGATTTTCATTTCCTAATGCCCCATCACACAGCATCCTCCTCCTCCTTTAACATTCAACACACGAGCTTAATTAAACAGCCAGACCTCCAAACAAAAATTCCCCTGCAAAAGTCAGGTGACAAACAGTATTTCAATTGAACATCTTCCTAAACTCAGAAGCACATACTGCTCTACTGATTTTTATAATGCTCCTCCTTTTTGCTCCTTCGGCCCTTTGTTCTGACCAGGAGGATGGGCTGCATAAACAGATCTGAGTATCGAAAGAGTTACAGTAGCCAAGAATTTTTTTTTAAAATATAGCTAATAAAGTTGTGCTATATGTCCCAAGGCAGGAGCATAAAGAACTTTCCATTCACAGAAAAGTTCTTGTCTCAAAGCCTGTCCCATGCTCTCTAAAACCTTAGGTCCCCAATCATTCTTGCTTTCACTTAACCCAGGCTACAGCCTGTTTGCTCCAAGCAATCTTAAGACATCACCCCTAGATGTGAGCAGGGGCACTGCCCTTTCAAATGGGACCTACCTTGTAGCTACAGCTGGTGCCAACTAGCACACGGGAGGTCTTGTTACAGTTTGGTTTTCATTCTAGAGCTTACAACTGTAAAATCTCCACACCAAACAAGTACAAAGTCAATGTATAAAAATGACTCCAATGCATTATCTGATCAAATTATGAGGTAGAGCAGCATATTCCTCCCAGTTTCAGAAGCTGGCTGACGTCTAACAGATAAGAGATTATACTTCAGATCCAGAGCTTACTGACTCTGTGCCTTTAAGTCTTATTACAGGCACTTTTGCCAGTAATTTTTCCAAAAATCTGGGTTACCAATCCTTCAAATTCCCAAGCTAGTGTCTGTTGGTAATATCTTTTTCTAGTCCTCCAGCAGATTTTCCTTGCAGTATAACTCTTCTTATGGAGGAAAGCGTCATGATCAGATTTGATTTCTCATCATCAAATTCCCCAATTGCAATCAAAGCCTTGCCGGTGTCTGTGCATTCCCACACAGGCAAAGTAGCAGAGTGTCAAATGCCAACACCCGTCCCACCTGAAAAATACATTTGAGCGGCAGGAGGGAAGAACAGAACGGGATGCTGCCTGCCTTCTCTCTCTCCAAATCCTGGTACAGCAACCTGGCACCAGCTGAAAACATCCAACTGTGCAAGAGCAGAATTTGTCAGCTCAGTTACATGTCTTCCTGGCAATGTGTAACTGTGGTTACTACAAGTCTTCCACTATGTAAATACCAAACAGTACTTGAAAAGAAGCACTTGTTTGGCACTAAGATAAAGTGAGATCAGCTCAAATCCACTCAAGAGGTTTTCTAGAAACAGTTTCCAAACCTACAAAACAATATTAAGAGTTATTATGCAGGAGGCATAAATCCAGGTGAAAAGGATGCAAGGAAACAAACTGCTTCCATGATCAACTGGATTCCAGTCGACTTGCTATGAAATAAAAACAGCAGGTGCATCTTTGTGAGCAGAAAGGAGATGCTCTTCAGACAGCAAACTGCAGAGAAAGCAGGCCAACCAGCCAGCGAGAACTGCCATGCCTGATACAACAATGTTGGCGTGGTAACTTGAAATATATTTAGCAACTAGATTTAAAAAAATGTCTAGAGACATAAACCTTAAGTATGCCCAAAGTTCGCACTGCCATTCTCATCGGCATCCAGAAAGCGCTCTTTAAACACTGTTTCCTCCTCATTCCTCAATTCCCCAGAATTTATCTCAGGAAGCAGCAATTTAGAGAAGCAAGGATTAAACACCTCCTGCCCTATCCTTCGCAATTGCTGCTAGCAGAGACACACACTTGGTTCCAGCCAATTCCTGCCACCTACCTGTGGGCTTTTAGCTACTCTGAGTGAGGACAAGCCCCTCGCCACAGGAACTCAGTGCACCCCAGGAGCCATGACTTCCAAAGAGGGTTTCACATTATTAACATGCAGAAGAACGCATGTCCTTACAGACAAAACCCCTTGATGTTCTGGAAACAAAGAGTATTTTACAATGGCATCTGCCATTACAGACATCACAGGCTCCTTTCAAGGACATACAGAAAACCTTATTCAGTACCAGGTCACGAGTAGCTCAGCAAGAGAAGGAATACTTGTGTGGGAACGACAACACCCCAACACCAAACCAGTTAGACAGCAGAATATAGCAGAAAGGCTCTTGCTGCATTACCTTGGTGACAGAATCGTTAACATTGATTGCTGGCACTTTCAGGGTCCCATTGGCTTTCATCTTGTACAAGTTGTGAACTCCTGTGGTTGTCTCTTCTGAAATACCTCTAATTCCTGTGGGGAAGAGGAAAAGGATTCACCTTAGTTGGAGTTAATGCTGCTGCAGACCAACACACCCAAGCGCTGGGAGCATCTTCCAGAGAACTAAGTTAAACAAACCCTTTGCAGGAAGGAGAGAAAAGATGAGAACCCTCATTTGGAGTGCATTTGAACTCAAATATTGCTCCTTTTTATGTTATTTTTTCTTAATTCCTTTCCCTCACTGTATAACATATAATCACTCTTAATTCCTATAATATGTGGGAGTTTTTATCTACACTATCATTGGTTCTCCTAATATTCCAAAAATAGGAGCCCCAGCTTTCCTATTTCACAAATGATAGCAGCAGAGGGTCCAAAGGAC